AGCTTAAGAGAATGTTTAGTTAGTAGTAGTACTTTCAAAGAATAGGATATTGTGCAGCTATTAAAATTATCTTCACATAAAGAGGTTTTACTGAAATGAGGGAGTGCTTTTGTACTAATGTTAAATGAAGACAGCAGAATATAAAGCTGCAGAATATCAACCATATTTCAAAAATGCTTTGAGTGAGCGAAATGCACCAAAATGTTCACAATGGTAGAATTATTATAATTACTATTCTCTTATATCATTCTACTTATTTCCATTTCTGCAATAAAAATATAACCCTTAAGGTCAGAAAAAGAATTTTATAAAAGAAAATATCACATTGGAAAATACAACCTAACTGCTCAGAATAATAGAAAATAAAAATATACAGATTCCAAATGAGAATCTAAAGCCTCCGTCGTATGGATTTGTCCACGAATCTGTGGCATGGTATGGTTGCATGTGGTGTTCCCTTACTTTCCGTTTCTTTGTTAAATTTCAGGTATGTTAGGTTGCCAGATATTTGAATTGTAGATGAGTAAAGCATTAAGGTATGTATATATTTAAAGAAAAAGAGAGGATGCTGAGAAGGAAAGACTAAGAAAGAGAAGGGAGGGAGAAAGGCTCTGAGCCAATGCTTTTAGACAAGTGTCTAAGGAATTATTTTTCATTAATTGGTATTTAGAAGTTTAGAAGCCACAGATGGTGGCAACTGTCATTAAGTCACTCAGGCTGATTTATCCATGGACGAGCATTAAAGACAAATTAACTTCTCTAGAGAACAGGCTAGTGTCCAATTAACAACTACATCTTAAAACTAGGAGAGCTGAATTAAAAATGTGAGGACATCAGGGATGCCTGGGTGGCTCAGTCAGTTAAGCATCTGACTCTTGATCTCAGCTCAGGTCATGATCTCCTGGTTCATGGGATTGAGCCCTGCAGGGGCTCTGTGCTTACAGAGAAGAGCCTGCTTGGGATTCTCTCTCTGCCCCTCCCCCACGTTCTCTAAATAAATAAACTTAAAAAAAAAAAAAAGAATGTGAGGATATCAAACCTGGGACAGCATAAGGAATTCAGTAGTTGAAGCAAATGAGTATTTTAGTATAAGATGTCTATATCTGAAGGTATTGGATATTTTTTTAACCAATTTTCTATCCTGATTCTTTTGTATTATAATGAAATATTTTTCTGTTAAATAACAGTATTTTTGGGGCGCCTCGGTGGCTCAGTCAGTTAAGTGTCCGACTTCAGCTCAGGTCATGATCTCACGGTTTGTGGATTCGAGCCCCGCGTCAGGCTCTATACTGACAGCTAGCTCAGAGCCTGGAGGCTATCTTCGGATTCTGTGTCTCCCTCGCTCTCTGACCCTCTGCTGCTCATTCTGTCTCTAGCTCGCTCTCAAAAATAAATAAAACGTTAAAAAAATTTAAATAATAGTATTTTTGTATTTTCTCTTCTTTCTTTAAATGAAATCTTAAAAATATGGGTAATGGAGGAAGAGGCAGTGAGTGACATTTTGATTTTACAATACACAGTGACATTCATTTATTCATATACATATACACAGCCCCCACAAAATGTGTCACCTTATGCAGGAATGACCAAGGGCAAACTGATTCCAGAATGGGTGATTTAAGAGAAAGTTATGGTTTGACTTTGAAAAGCATCTGAAGATCATTTTTAAAAATTTCCCTCTGCCTCCCCAAACCTTATATGCCAAGAAAACCCTCTTAAGAGTATTTTAAACTGGTCTGAGAGACAGACAAGATCCAAGTCTGTTCTCATTCAACATTAGCAGCATTTGCAATATGATTTCTAAGGACTTCCCCAAACATGCTATATTTTATTATAATAACCCTGTGAGATATTACTAGCCCAACTTTATAGATGCAGAAAGAGCCTCTGAGAGATTAATTTGTTAAAGATCACACCAGGATTAAGCTAGAGGAAAGTCCCAGAATTCAGTTTTCTAGCTCCCAATCCTGTATTCTTTCCACTGCTTCATTCTGATAAATTCCTCATACTGATGAATTTCATGCCAGAGTACACATAAGAGACTATATGTGGACTGCAAGCAGCACTCTCCACAATAGCTAAAACATGGAAAGAGCCTAAGTGTCCATCAACAAATGAATGGATCAAGAAGATGTGGTTTATCTATACCATGGAATACTACATGGCAATGAGAAACAATGAAATCTGGCCATGTGTAGCAACATGGATGGACCTTGAGGGTGTTATGCTGAGCGAAATAAGTCAGGCAGAGAAGGACAAATATCATATGTTTGCACGTATAGGAGGATTAGGAGGAACTTGACGGAGGAACAAGGGGGAGAAGAAGGGCGGAAATGGTGGGGGAAAGGGAGAGAGGCAAACCATGAGAGACTCTTGAATGCTGACAAAAACTGAGGACTGATGGATGTGGGGGGGAGGAGGGATGGGCATGGAGGAGGGCACTTGTGGGGATGAGCACTGAGTGTTATGTGGAAACTAATTTGACAATAAACTATTTGTAAAAAAAAAAAAAAAAAAAAGAAGAGTGATTAAAATCCAGCGAACTATAGGAGTTTCTTAAAACAATGGACTGATAGAACATGTTTAAATAAAAAAGCAGTGATAAAAATGGAAAAAAAAAAAGAGACTATATGTGGACTGCAGATAAGAGGTTACTCAACAAGAGTGCAGGTGAGTGGAAAATTTTCCCTGAAGAAGTTAAAACTAAGAGGTAGAAGGTGGAGGCTGATGTTCATTGCCACCTTGGTGTCCACCTGGGCCCCTTCATCAGACTGTGTTCTCTTCATAAAACTATGTTCATCATTTGTCCTTCAGGGTTTAAACTAACGCTGTCCCCAAAAGAGTCCCACTGAAAATCTGAACCACTTTCACTATTCCTTTACTCCCTTCAGCTTAACTTTGATAGCTTGTAGCTATTCCAGAGTGTGCCTACTCCCTAACTCCTCAGGAATTTTTCTCCAGAAGTCATACACAGGTGTGTTAGCTCACCAGCTAGACTTTAAGCAAGATGTGCATTTTCTACATCTCAGATTCCTCCCCACCTTTTCAACACCCTTCCCTCTTTCTTCCGACTGCCTAGAAATCTGCTATGCATTCAACAAATGCCTACTGAGTGGATGAGAACCTGCAGGAGTGAGGTGAAAGCCCAGATTGATTAGTAATTAGGAGGTGTATGATTTCAGGCAGGTCTGTAGGTTCCAGTTTTCTCACCATAAAATGGTTATGGGAACAGGAAGTGGGTGGACTACATGAGGCCTATGATCTCTAAGATTCTATAAATATTCATATTATTTTCATTGGGCTGAATCATAGCCTTACTTCATTTCATTAGGGATGGGAGAGGAGATAAATACGAATTCCAAAGAAAAGAATGTTTAACATTCTTTAAAAAGACAAATACGGAGATCAAATACTAACCACCCAACAGGCAGAAGAAAGCCAATGTATCTGCAAAATTAATAAATCAAAGGAGACTGAGAGAGAGTAGAAATGTCTTGGGCAAATGTCGTGAGCAAGGGTAGAGATATGGATCCTTTCCAACAGGGGTGTAAAGGGACTAGAGGATGAATGTAAATGGGAGCAGATTGGTAACGAGAAAATTGCTTTAGTGGTTAGACATATGTAGCATAATGTATGATTTTTAAATTAAAACAAATGTATTTTAGAGAGACAGCAAGCAGGGTACAGGGGCAGAGAGAGAGAGAAATCTTAAGCAGGCTCCATGCTCCAACACGGGGCTTGATTTCATAACCTTGAGACCATGACCTGAGTTGAAATCAAGACCTGACTAAGCCACCCAGCTCCCCCTAATGTTTGCTTTTAAAATTTGCTCTTAGGTTTGCTGTTCAAGCTTGAAATCAAGTGTTACGAATGTCATGTCAGCATTGAGACTGCTTAGATCATGAGGAAGAAAACAAGACGTAAACTAACAACTTCCTTGTGAAAATACAGACAGAAGTTCCTGGCATTAAAAGGGGGATCAATATTAACAACATATGACCATTAGCAACCTATTTTCCTAAATTCAGGTGGGAGGAGCGAAGGTAAGGGGTAAGTAATGACAATGTTATTCAAGATATTTCTTCTAAGTTTAATTTTATTAAAGATTTTAAAATTCCAAGTAAAACTGTACTGGTTTCATTAAAACTGGGCTCTAGCTTGTAATAGACAGACCTTGTAATAGATTAAAACGGTGTTATAAGAAGGCCCATCCATGCCTTCATTAAGAAACTCTCTTAGATGGGTGAATTATGGCAGTCAGTGTACCCAAGTCTACAATGTGATATTAGAGGTGAGAATTCATCTGAGGAGCTAAAGGAAAAGAAAGTCAAATTCAGTTTGAAACTTCAAGGAAAAAAAAAATCTCTGAAGTTAAAAAGTAATACTTGAAGCAAATAACAATCCTTGGATTATCGGATGTAAAAGGTTTTAGTTGGTATCCAAAATTGAAGTGACACTTTAAATGATTAAATCAATAGGAGTGCATGGTGGATAAGAGGCCAGAAAAATCCCATTTCTTAAAAGAGAGCAAAAATTTTAAAGGGATTTGATACTTAAGAGCCATTTTTAGGAATCTCTTGATGAAATTTTTGATACTAAAGCTGCAGAGTAGAAACTTACTGTTAATCCATGTTATGTAACTTTGAATCTAATCTGCCCTTCATCTTCTACCTAAGAAAAGGGCCTATTTTTTTTTAATTTTTAAATGTTTTATTTATTTTTGAGAGAGAGAGAGAGACAGCGTGAGCAGGAGAGGGTCAGAGAGAGAAGAAGACACAGACTCTAAAACAGGCTCCAGGCTCTGAGCTAGCTGTCAGCACAGAGCCCGACGGGGGGCTCGAAACCATGAACCGTGAGATCATGACCTGAGCCAAAGTCGGACGCTTAACCAACTGAGCCACCCCGAAAAGGGCCTAAATTTAACCAAAGTCTATAAAGAAAAAGTGTGTGTGTGCGTGCGTGCGTGTGTGTGTGTGTGTGTGTGTTAAAGTCAAACATACCTGCTTCATCGTAGGATACCGTCAACTTTTCTAGCATTTCTCGGTCAATCGACAGAATCTGCTGTTCAAGGATGGTCTGGTAAGACAAAACGCTATTTTCTTTGTCCTTCTCGTAGTCCTGAAGGTGCTGTTTGAGGGCCTCTGGGAGTCGCGATTTTACATATTCAGCTGCAGTCTGCAGTTAAAAAAGGTAGAGAATCCTATTAGTAGCCATCTGAGGCTGTTCACTTCCCCTCACGTGCTGCAATGAAACCCACAGCACTGTGGCACAAACCCTTTAGACAAGCATATCCTGGTCATTGTCACTGTTAGATTCCACTCTATGAAGTAAGGTGGACCTTCAAATAGACTCACAGACCTCTAGGAATTTTCTACCAGGTTTAAAGCTATGAAACATGATGGATTTGATTTGGCATACAAAGTGTTAGTTAATACCCGGAGTTCCAACTATTCTGCTGAACTCTGAAGGCCCAGTGATAGTAATTTTACTGGCTATAAATCTGACTTGCCCTTGTCTAGAATGCAGTTAGTCAGTCACTCATCCCAGCAGTGAGCTTGCCTGTGCTATGGCATCCACTTCTCTACTTTGATGTTCTCTGCTCATTAATGGTTACATAGGAACTCTTGTGAAGTGAATAGAAAGGAGAGTCCTCTGCTGAGGCTGATAATGGAATAATGGGATAAACAGAGAATGAAGAGACCTAAGGCAATGATGCCCCTAACCTGTTTATCACTTAAATGTCTTGGACTTTATTTATATATATAAATATATATATGTATTTCTGATATATAGATAGATACAGATATAGATATAGAAATAGATCAGTCTTAGCTTGTTTTGTTCTCTGCTACACAATCTGCATAAAGCACTCCTAAATAGTAACATCTGAAATTACATGCAGTGATTTTTTTCAAGCTTCCATTTGAGGTAGGAAGGAAGGTATGCATACTTTGAAAAAGACTCCCCAAAGATTCTGGTATGTTCTGAGGATGGGCTGGAGATGTTATTCTCTTCTCCCTCCCAGTTGAGAATCACAGTTAAACAGAACTTTAAGAGAGAAATTAAGTGACAGAGTGGCATATATGAATCAGGGGAATTCCGAAATCTCTTAAAACATTTCTGTTAAGAATACCAAGAGTTTGGTGTCTCCTGACAGTACAGTTCTGCATCACATGCATGAGGTCTGAAGTTGATAAAATAAATAAATGCATACATATATTGTTTAAAATTATACTCACAACCACTAATAAATGTAAATAAAAGAAACTGTTAAAAAGGAATGTCTCTCTCCTACACTGTTGGTGGGAATGTAAACTGGTATAGCCCCTCTGGAAAAGTGTGGAAGTCCTTCAAAAAATTAACAATAGAACTCCCCTATGACCCAGCAATAGCACTGCTAGGAATTTACCCAAGGGATACGGGAGTGCTGATGCATAGGGGCACATGTACCCCAATGTTCATACCAACACTTTCAAACAATAACCAAATCATGGAAAGAGCCTAAGTGTCCATCAATGGATGAATGGATCAAGAAGATGTGGTTTATCTATACAATGGAATACTACATGGCAATGAGAAAGAATGAAATCTGGCCACTTGTAGCAATGTGGATGGAACTCAAGGGTGTTATGCTAAGTGAAATAAGTCAGGCAGAGAAGGACAGATACCGTATGTTTTCACTCATATGTGGAACAGGAGAAGCTTAACAGAGGACCATGGGGGAGGGGAAGGGGGGAAATAGTTAAGGAGAGAGATAGAGGCAAACCATAAGAGACTTTCAAATTCTGAGAACAAACTGAGGGTTGATGGGGACAGGGAAGAGGGGAAAAGGGCTGATGGGTATAAAGGAGAGCACTTGTTGGGATGAGCACTGGGTGTTATATGGAAACCAACTTGACAATAAACTATAAAAGATTAAAAAAGAAGATGGAAAAGAAAAGGATTGCCTCTGGGATATGTGCCTAGAAGATATTAAAAGTTTAATATCTTTTTTTTTTTTTTTACTTCTGGTACACTTATTCAATCATAATTTAAGACAAGTGTGAGTTAAATACACACACAGACACAGATACAGTACATGCTCATCAACAGAGTTTTGTTTTGTTTTTTCATTTGTAAAACAGTATGCTCTATAGCCTTTGGAAATACTGAGGTAGGTCTATATGAACTGACAAGGAAGAACATCATGATATTACCATTAACATTAAAAAACAAAGTTACAGAATGCCAGTGACAATACATCCTTTTTATGTAGAGCATACATATATGTATGTATATATTGTAATCTGTAATATTCTATGTGCATGGCAGAAGGCATGGAGGGCTATACTCTGTAGAACATACTTTTTACTCTCCACATTTCTGTATTCTTTTGCTGCTCTTACTATTATAATTTTTATCTTTAAAAATTTTTTGTAACCTTCAGAGTTTTCCTTTTAAATGTTAGCACAATTTAAGATGAAGAGAAACTTGCCAGAACAATGACAACTAACTTCCCAGGAAAAGTCTACTGGGAAATGATAGGGGAAACTTACAGATCAGTCCTCAGAGTGGCAAAACATAGCACACAACACTTTATTTCCACATTTGCATTTAGAGTCCCTAGGTCAGTTGTTGATGAAATTACAATTTTAAAATATCACGAAACATTGCTCAATTTCTCTGCCAGCCAGCTAGCGCAGAACAAATAAAATTATTCCACAAAATGTAAATGGACTCAGCATATTAACACAACATATTTAATTCTAGAGTTTAATAACAATTTTCTCTCAACACTGGAAAACGAACATACACATTGTGGAATAACTATTTTTAGACTCATACCACCTTGCTATTCAGTGTAATAGCTGTTTTTAATGTTTTTCCTTGGAGATAATCTAAGAGGTATCAGGAGTAATTTAAAATGCACGTTTTACAAATATTGGTGTACTCTATTACTGAAAGCTACACATCTTTTTCCAATTGTATCTACTGATTTACTTTTCTAATTAAAATCGTGATATAGGCCTTTGAACAGGGCCTATAATTTTTTTCTATATTGTTGTTATATTTTGGCATTTCATTTCTAAAACAGTATAACCTCATGTATAGAGTTCCTCCATTAGGAAAGATTCTTAAGAGGAACAGAAAGAAAGCAACTCTGTCAATATACTAGATTCTGTCAAGATGTTTCAAGAAATCACCTTCATACTGAGGCAATGCTCTAAATGTATTCAAATGGCCATTTAAACCTTATGTTCAAGCATGAGCCTACGTTAAGAAAGAGGCTGTCAGGGGCATCTGGTTGGCTTAGTCGGTTAAGCGTCCGACTTTCAAGCTTAGGTCATGATCTCGCGGTTCATGGGTTCGAGCCCCGCGTCGGGCTCTGTGCTGACTGCCAGCTCAGAGCCTGGAGCCTGTTTCGGTCTGTGTCTCCCTCTCCCTCTGACCCTCCCCTGCTCGCACTGTCTCTCTCTCTCTCCTAGAAATAAATAAAATATTTTTTAAAAAAAGAAAGAGGCTATCATACAAATAACATATGTTCTCACTTATATGTAGAATCTCAAACAAAACAAAAGAATACACAACAAAACAAAACTGAACTCATAGATGTTGAGAACAGATTGGTGGGGTAGGGGTGGACAAAATGGGTGAAGGTGGTCAAAAGGTACAAACTTCCAGTTATAAAATGAATATGTCCTGGGGGTATAATGTTTGACATGGTGGCTAGAGTTGACAATACTGCATTATTATATATTTGAAAGTTGCTAAGAGAGTAGATCTTAAAAAATTCTTAGCACAGGGGCGCCTGGGTGGCTTAGTCGGTTAAGTGTCCGACTTTCGCTTAGGTCATGATCTCGCGGTTCGTGGGTTCGAGCCCCGCGTCGGACTCTGTGCTGACTGCCGGCTCAGAGCCTGGAGCCTGTTTCAATCTGTGACTCCCTCTCTCTCTGACCCTCCCCTGCTCACGCTGTCTCTGTCTCTCTCTCCTAGAAATAAATAAAACATTAAAAAAAAATTAAAAAAAAATTCTTAGCACAATAAACATTGTAACTATGTGTGGTAATAGATGTTAATTAAACTTATTGTGGAAACATTTCCTAATATATACAATTACCAAATCATTATGCTGAACACCTGAAACTACTAGGTCAATTATAGGTCAACTATATCTCAATAAAAATCCAGGCTGTCATCTTATTAACTGAGATTATAATTATTCCACAGGTAATAGATAATACAAAGAAAAATTTAAAAATTTCATTGGAATTCTATGTGAAAAACAAAATTAAAATTCAAGATAACTTATCTTTTCTTTAATGAATGAGAAGTGCTACTGGAAGTTTAAATCCTAAATTGCATGCTCTTACAATCAGCCATTCAAGAAACAATAATATTAGTTAGCAATATCAGTATCTTGCATTTGTGTGGTACTTTACACTTTTCCCAGCAATTTATGCTGTTACCATTCTGTATGTTCACAGTAACTTTGAATGAATGTAGACAAATTACTGGTTTTGGCCAGTCCTTCACATCCTTCAAAGTTTGGCTAAAATGCCATAAAATTCTTTTAGTGAACACACCTAATAGTAGCCAACAGCCTTTCAAGTATTTATGTAGGTATTTGTAAAGGGATAAGTATTTTCCCCAGTGTAGCTGAGATAAGAACTGCATCTTACATACCCTTGAGTTCCCCCAGCATCTGGTTCAGTGCTTGGCACCAAGAATTTTAATATCTTGGCTCTAGCCAAGAATCAGGTATTTTGAGATAGGCTTTAGAGAAAACTTTCTGATAGTTCATTAATTCTTTGCCTGCAATCTGAACTTGCTTTCATGATTCTAGATAGAGCCTAGGAGTCATTTTCTACTGGCAAATGCTACTACACTTAAGTCTTTAATTATCATTGATGTCATTATTGTAAGAAAGTAAACAGATTAAACCCAAAATAGCAAATTATGTACTTCACATACAAAGCTGTATATGAAGCTTTATTTAATGTGTTCCTCTCCATAATTGATCTTCTCCATTCTTGCCTTTATTTCTTCATTTGGCAATGGGCTTGATTCTGCTAGGGACCCTCTGAAGAGTTATGTGGAATTCAGCTCAGAACTGGGCTTCTCAGTTAATGGTTGCCCTGCAGAGGTTAATTCTGCCTACATGTTCAAGTTTGTGCTTGTTCAGGTGGTAGCAGAGA